TATTTTTAAAAAATTTTATTTATTTATTTTAGAGAGAGATAAAGAGGGAGCACAAGCGGGGGGAGGGAGAGAGAATCCCAAGCAGACAACCCCTGAGCACAGAGCCTGATGTGGGGCTCGATCCCAGGATCCCAAGATCATGACCTCAGCTGAAATCAAGAGTTGGACACACAACTAACTGAGCTGTCCAGGCGCCCTGCAAATGGTTTTTATTTTGAAGAATGTTCAGGTTTCTGCATGGGCTTTGGAGTAGTCACCTCAATCCAGACCCAATTCTCTTGTCTTCTGCTTCCTATAAGCTGGGTAGCCTCGGAGGAGTGGCCCTGCCTTGGTGTGGACCCTGGTGTCATCTCATTGATAAAAACAGGACCATTTCCTACTTGAGAGATGATGTATTCAGACATGCCTCTCCAGGAGTGTTCATTTCATTTCCCTTTGCTTATGGGAAGTTGAAGCAGTCATTACATTGTTAGTTTTTTCTCTTCATCCACACCTGACCACACGTCACCTTGACTTTGAGATTATCTGATTGCCGGAGGCTTGGAGCATCCTGCCCAGGGAAGGGGCATGACTCCATCCCTGCCTCCGCCCCATTTCTCCCCAGCCCCTGCTCACTGTAATGAACTCAAGGTGTCCTTCTCTCCCCAGACCTCTATGAGCATAAATTCATCAACTGCCGGTTTATCAACACTTCATTTCTGGAGCAGAAGGAGGGCTGCCACATGGACTTTGAGCAGGATAATGACTTCCTGATTTACCTCGTTAGCTTCCTCGGCAGTCTGTCCGTCCTGCCCGGGAACATCATTTCTGCCCTGCTCATGGATAGAGTTGGAAGGCTCAAGATGATTGGTGAGTAGCTAGGGATGCCTCATCTCCTCCAGTAGGTAGGGATCGTGGCTTCCAAAGTGTATTAAAGAAGAGGATTTTTTTCTTTTTCTTAAAGAAATCTTGCACTGGAAACCAAACAGGTAAGATGGGATCTGCTGGTGTGGAGCCCAGGAGGCAGGCATGACTCCAAAACCCCAGGACTCCACAGACATAGTTTGAGACCTATGGTCCAGGTCAGGGACTCATCTTCATTTCCCGACTGAGCGATTCTGTGGTAGTCACTTATGCTATTAGTACTTCAGTAAGAATATTAAACATGCCCATTCTACCTGCTTTGTAAGATTTTTGTCAGAAAAAAATACAAAATGCTCTTCAATGAACATTGGTTCGTCTGATGGGTTTAAAATAGATTGCATTACTTATTATAATTTCATAGTGATCACACTTAGGCTTTGGAGGTGGACAGACTCATGTCCGAGTCCTATCACCTCAAGGCTGTTTGACTTTGGACATGTTCCTTTACTTCTCCAGGCTTCAGTTTCCATATCTGTACCTATAACTGGCTGGTAGGGTTTTGTGAGGCTTGAGCATGATGTAGCCAGAGCATCTTATAGTGCTTGGTGCCCTGTAGGTTCTTGAAATGGTAGAAGTTTTCACGCATGCCTTGCTTCACTGCACCAGGATCCTCAGCAGTTTGCTGCAGAAACACATGCTGTGCATGGAAAATAAGAAACAAAACATATACACCCAGGGCCAGGGAAAGCATATCAGAATGTATATACTGTAAGGCCACGGTGGGGATGAGAACACATTGATATATATGACATGAAGGGTCTGTTCTAGGGATGTAGTTGATCAGGAAAATTAATACCAACTCACTCCCAGCAAAGCTCAAAGGGAAACAAAATAAATCACATAGTCATTTTGTCAGAGAAGAGCACATTGGTCAGAGCTTGGCAAGGGAAGCTTTTGCCGGTGTGGGGTGCATTGAATATTATTATTGTAAAAGTAGCATGAATGCTGTTTGTGGTGAGGATGAAGTCATGTGTAGGCATGGCAGATGGTTAGACCTGAAGCCCCTGAGGGAAGGGCAGCGTTGACTAACTCCTTAATTCCTGAGTTTTTTGGCAGAAGGTAGCTTACACCCTGTGTAAGACCAGCAGCTGGGAGTCAGGTGGCCATCTCCGCCAACATTTGCTTTATGAGTCTACACACCTTCCTTTCCTTCTCAGAGCTTCTGTTTCACAATTGTGAAAGTAATACCTCCGTTTGCTCCAATGAGATAAGGTGTGTGAGAGTAGACGGGTGACATTTCTGCCATTCTGCCCCTGGCCTTTCCAGCCCCAGTTGAACAGCGAATGCTGTGGTTGAGCCCTGGGGGTAACCCAGGACATCCTTGGGAAGGCAGGGTCTACGAGGGGTGGGGTGGTGTGCAGGGGCATGGCCCGCTGCCTGGAGCAACCACACGCTCCCCCACGGAGGCAGAGGGAAGGCTGGGCGTGGGAAGGAGGCAGGGCAGCCAGAGAGCGGACATCTGCTTTGTGGCCACTGCAGTCCTTCTTGGCATCATGCATGTATTCCAGATCAGAACTGATTCCTGTCATGTTCCCCCAACTGGACAGCTGGAATGAATATCTCTCATTCTTTGTATCCTACTCTTTTATTAATGTCTGTATTTTGGTTCTGAGCTGCACTGTTAAGAGCTCAGGCAGTTCTTTCTTCGATCTTTAGGAGAAGGTCTGGCGCGAGGCGGGTTACCTGTGATATTCTCAGTGATGCTCAGCACATACTAGATGCTCAATAAATAGCTCGGTGGGATGTGGGTGACCTGTTTTGAAATAGTCTTTCCATGAACGGAAAGAGCTATTTCCTCAGAAAAATTCCCTCTTGAATCTGCCGGGGCACAGAATCTGTCCTGCTTACTCTGCCGCGCTCTTTCCTGGGTAGAAGTAGTGTCTTGTTAACAACAGAGTAGTTTTCCTGATGAAGCTGTTAGTCCTCATTTATTCATTCAATAAGCGATAATTTATGCAGCACTTATTCTCTGCCAGGCTGTGTGGCAATGATGGGAAGGCAACAGTAACTGAGACAGACAGCATCCTCATGCTCACAGAGCAAATGATCTATTGGGAGAGACAGACATAAACTAGAAATTGCATTGAACAAACACTTATAAAGCATGTATTATAGGTCAGGCCTCGTGCCAAGCATTTCATAAATATTAACATATTTAACACTCAATAACCTGGTGAGGTAGGTACTATTTTTTTTGCCAACATTTTACAGATAGGGGAAGTGAGACAGCACAGAGAGGTTAGGAGACTTGCTCAAGGTCACACAGGGAGGGGAAGCTGGGATTTGAACTCAGGCCTCTCCATCACAAGGGAAATGAGAATTAACCGAGTGGAAGTACAGTGGGCCACAGGGACTTATAGTAGGATTATCTGACATAGTTGAGAGGTCAGTTCCCTGAATATCACTTGATTTATTTGATGGTAATATTTTGTATCCAATAAACATTTATTCTAAGGTAGGCGCCATGGCTGGCCACTTTGAGGGAGGCATGCATTTAGGTGATATGGTTCCCAAGGCACTTGTGGTCCCGTAGATGTTTGTCTCTTTCCTAGCTGTTTGGAAAGACATTACCAGGTGACCTGCTCACAGCCCCGCCCCTTCCCAGAATCAGCAGAATCCAGGCGACAGTTACCATGTCCCAGCTCATCAGCAGGGTTTGGTATCAATATTGGCAGCTTGAGCTCTGAGGGTGATATTCCAGGTGGCGGCCCCCCGACCAGGGAGGCCCTTGTGGGTCAGGCCAGGCCACCAACATGGCTCCTTGGCAACAGGTACCCCAGGGTCCTGATGCCTGGAAGGGGAGCCCTTGGACTGTTTCCCAGCTGGTTGTTTTGAAGCTGCTTTCTTTCTTTCTGCTATCTATTCCCACTGCATTTCCAGCCATACCCTGGTCCATGCCCTGCATCCACTCCACACTCCCCAAGCTCTTCTGGGCTGGATGGAATGGATTTGGGCAGCATTTGACACAGCTTCTTTCAGTGGGACCTCTTATCATGAGCTGTACCAGCCAGAGTGTTGGTGGGAAAAAGAATCCACCCCAGAGAGTTCTAGTGAAGAGACTTTAGGGATGGGATGTGGCTTTGGGGGGTAATCCTACTATAGATCCCTGTGGCTCACTGTACTTCTACTCGGTTAATTCTCATTTCCCTCGTGATGGAGAGGCCTGAGTTCAAGTCACACCTTTCCTTCCCTGTGTGACCTTGAGCAAGTCTCTTAACCTCTCTGTGCTGGCTCACTTTCCCTACCCATAAAATGTTGGCAAAAAAAAAAAAAAATAGTACCTACCTCACTGGCTATTTGGGGACAGGGTTATGGGAACAACTGAGGCCGATGAAGCTCCCACATGCTAGCAAAATTGGCAGCAGGTACTGCCTCGACGATTGCAGGGAGAAGAGCACTCACCGAGCCCAGGGAGAGCAGGAACCGTGGAGGTGGAGGCTCCCGGAAAGAACTATAGTCCTGGGGGGGATGCAGCCATGACCAAAAAAGGGCTTTATAGATAGGACGGGAATTGGGAAGAAATACTCCAACCCCTATCTGCTCCCAGCTGGTAAGGGAGCGGCAGGTATGCAGTCCCTGGGGGCTAGCTTCTCAGGAAACAGGGCTGAGAAGGGCAGGTCAGATGTCTGGGGTGGAGATAGGATAAATGGAGAATAAAGATCAAGGCCCTTCAGGTTTTCTTCTGCAGCCCATTTACAGTTCTGTTCTCAGTAGCACATAAGCTCCAAGAGGATTTTTTGATACCGATGTATCTCAGGCACCCAGAACAATGTCTGGGATATAATAGATTCTCAAGGAATGTCCCCTTGGCCTCCTCCCCAATAATTCTGGGCTGGGCAGCACCACAGAGTGAGGATTTCAAAATCCTTCTGGGAGGCTAATTCTGGTGACATGACCCACTCAAAAGGCTCTAATCCTGTGGCTGGAGTACCATGTGGGGGGTTCAAGCTACGCTTTCTCTGTGTAGAGATGGACCTGTGACTTGAGGTGACCTGTTACTTCAGGCACACCTGTGAGGATAGGAGAGGGGAAAGACCTATGGGTGACAGTCTTGTCTAAGACATGGGCTTCATGGTTTTTGGTTTTTTTTTTCTGCCCTTGACCTCCCCCTGTAGGTGGCTCCATGCTAATCTCGGCGGTCTGCTGCTTCTTCCTGTTTTTTGGCAACAGCGAGTCGGCGATGATCGGCTGGCAGTGCCTATTCTGTGGGGCGAGTATTGCAGCCTGGAATGCCCTGGATGTGATCACGGTGGAGCTGTATCCCACCAACCAGAGGTCAGTTCTGCCGTGGGCTTCTCTCTGGGACTTGTTCGGACTTCTTTGGCCAGAAGTCTACCCATTCCAACATACTTCCCCACAGCCATTTTGGTTTTCTGGTGTTTCACGGACCAAGGAAGCATCTCTTTGGTTTTTGAGTTTCTCCTGTATGGGGGCTGGTGTAGGCATGGAGGTGAGCAGGCTAAAGCCTGATGGAGTGGGGTGGGGGGTCAGGTACAAAGGATAAGTGCAAACCACGTTCGGGAGAGAGAAATGAGGGTGATACCATAGGTGTCATGCACTCCAGAGAGAGGTGAAAACAGACCTCCAATGGGAGAGAGGGGGGAAAAGGTGAAGAACTAGATAAACAAAGGGTGGAGGAGAGGCAAGGGCAGACAAAGGTGGGGGTGAGTCCTGATGGTCTAGGGCATTAGCAGAGAATGTGATAGGAATGCCCAGTGCTTAATTTTATTTTTGTGCAAGCCGTGTGGGAAGAAGCCTGGTTGAAAGGCATGGGGTCAAAGCCATTACGTAGCAGTTATCTCTCCTTATGGAGAGGGAATTGTGAATTTTAAGGATGGCAGGTAAGTGGTCCTATGGTCAAAAAGGAGTGCGAAGTGATGTGGAAGGCAGGTAAATGAAATTCTGCAAAAAAATCTTAATGATATTACCCAAATTGGTGACAGAGGTATTAGAATATGGCTAGCTATGGCAAAGCACAGCATCCCATATTTGGAGCCCCTCTCCCCTGAACCAAAGAGCTTCTAAGTTTTACAAAAAATAAGAGGAGGAAAAATTATCATTATTTCAAAGGTATATGGTTTTACATCTAGGAAACCCAAGACAATAATTAACTAAAGAGACTGCTCAAAACAGAAAACTAATTTGATAAGGTGGTCAATAATAAAACTAACTTAATAACTTATGGGATTTAAAAATGTATCCAAAAATTTTAAAGTAAAATTGAATTCCATTTAATAATAGCAGAAATCATAAAATATCTAGGAATATAAGAATATAAGGGATAATAAGAAAGATGAAACACTTATGTGAAGACAACCATAAAGCTTTACTGAGAGATAAAACAGAAGACTTACATATATGTCAAGATATACCTTATGAAATTCTAAGAAGATTTATTCTTACACAAATTTCAAATCTTCTTTTGTTTCCTTCTAACTTCAAAGAGTCCATTCAGAATTCAATGAGATTTTTTTCCCCCCTCCTCTGGAAACTTGGGACAACTTTGGAAATTTCATTTGGAAAAATACACATGTGAAAATATCCAAGCAGATTCTGAAAACAAAAAGATAGGGATTGGGGGCTAGTTATATATAAAGTGATTAAAAATGTAAAAAAATTAATGTACAAAAATGTAGACACATTCTTAGTAAACCTGTGATATGAAAAAGAAATATTTTGCTTCAGTTGAAGAGAGCTGGTGTTGGGAATATAGTCTCTGTATACAGATGGAGTCAAGAAAGGACAGATGATTAGTAGCTGTTATCATTAAGGGGACACCTGGCTGGCTTAGTTGGTAGAATATGTGACTCTTGATCACTGGGGTAGTGAGTTTGAGCCCCACATTGGATGTAGAGATTACTAAGAAAAATAAATGAACTTAAAAAAAATAATAGTTGCCCCTCAGAAGTGTGATTGAGGGATAATAATTAGGATTAGGTTTTGCCATGGGTGACAGAAATCTCAAATAACTGCAGCCTTAAGAAGGTAGGCATTTCCTTTTTCTCTCCTGTAGAAGTCCACACCAGGGACTGCAGGCTCTTTTTATCTTGTTGTTCACCCTTTCATGAGCTCAGCCATGGGCCAAGATGGGACCATCTACATTTTTGGAAGTGGGATGGAAGGAAGAAAAACGGAAGAAAAGAGAGCAAAAAGTACCACTCATGACATCTCTCAAGGAAATTTTTCAGGAGCTGCTATTTGCACTTATATCTCATTGGCTAAAAACATAGTCACATGGCCAGACTCCTCAGCAAGGGAGTCTGGGAAATGTAGTCTACATTTAGAGAAACGCTAGTTAGGGACACCCAACAGTGATCTGCCACAAGAGGGTCAGGGTGTTATTGAGGAGGAACAGTGACACTTTCTGCTTCATTCTCTCTGTTTTTTCAGTGTTTCACAATATGCATGTCCTATCTGTGACAATTTCAAAAAGAGATAACATTTGAAAAGAGAAAGAAACAAGTGTGAAGGAAATACTCCAGACTGGTAATAGTGGTAATTGCCTTTCAGTGGTGGGGTTATATACTTTTGCATCTTTATGTTATTCTGTATTTCCAAATTTGATTAAAATGAGAATGTTTGACTTTTATATTTAGGAACAAAAGTTCCCTCCCACACCTTCACTATACCTTCCCTCACAACAGGGGAAAGAAAGGACCCAGTCCTGCTCATCCCAAGGAGGTCTGGTTCATCTTTTAGAATGATTGACTTTCTTCTTCTTTTACAGGGCGACAGCCTTTGGCATCCTTAATGGATTATGCAAATTTGGCGCCATCCTGGGAAACACCATCTTTTCTTCTTTTGTTGGGATAACCAAAGTGGTTCCCATTCTTCTGGCCGCTGCGTCTCTCGTTGGGGGTGGCCTGATTGCTCTTCGGCTGCCAGAGACCCGAGAACAGGTCCTGATGTGAACAACCTCTGGGGAAAGAAGATGTTGGAAGAACCTTATCCAAGAACCTTAAATGCACCCATGCTTCCTGTCACTGTCCAGAGGACACGGGAGGAGAAGTTGATTTTGTGACTCCTAGTTTAGGACCCATTTCAGCTGTCAATATGTTTGTAACTCAGGTGACTGATTTGGGGGTGTCCTGAATCACCTTTAGAATCCCAGAGTGGTGTTCTTGGCTTCGGGTCTCCCCAGCCCAAAGCAGGGGAAGAAGGATCACACCTTCCAGTGGGTGCACGCGCTGAGCAAGGACTGTGTATTCCCCCTAGTGAGGTGCAAGGACTTATTTGCATTTCAAAATGAATCTGAGGGTGAGAAACATTTAAGGTCCTCCTCCATAAAGTTTCTCAGAGCCCAATGACCTACCACACTGACTTGTCAGGAAGTTAGAGTCATCATATAAATATTGGGCTTGAAATACAAGATACTTATATTTTTGCATTTAAGAGTATCACCAAGCCTATGTTCCATTTGAAAATTGGCACAATAGCATTGAAGATACTCTAATATAGAAAACCAAATATTTGATCAATATCTATAGAAATCTGCTCCCCCCTCAACCAAGTGTCCTAAGTTTTCCATGACGATTAGGTGGTAAATTTAAGGATGCTATTTATTCCTGTTTTGATCTATTCAAAGAAACTTAATGCGATAGGTATTCTGTAAACTAACTTTGTACATAACTATATCTGGGTTTAATTTGCAGAAATGGTACCTGCAAATATTTGCCAGCCTTTTAGCCATATTTTGGGAGGAGTTGGTGTTTGGGGTCCCAGGAAATTAGGTCTGATTGAATGAAATGCAACCACAATATCTTATAGCCATTTAACTTGCTGTCAGGAGGATGCACTTCGTAAACTCGTGTTGTACAGTTCATTTAGTCCAGGCACTTTTCTTTGTGTAGGTGGAGTAGTTACTTTTTTCTCTTACACAGATCACTTGTGAAACAAGCTCACCATCTTGGGTACCGGCATTAGATGCTGCTGCACCCCCAGAAACAACAGGAGAAGGGTTCAGGGGCTTCTGGCATTCTCTTTATGGGCAAGAATAAAACACAGTGGACAACATGAGTGATTGAGGGAGGGATGGGGAAGAGTAATCAGTTCTCCAAAGCATAAATTCTTTGTTTCTTTTAGCTGTAAAACATGATCCATATTTGTTATCATGGTCAGGTCCCATGAGAAATCTATGCTATGTGTCTCGGTTCAGGACCTTTGAAAACAGATGTCATTGGCATGGGAATCAGGGCATGCAGTGGATGTCAAGTATGTCTCCCTTCAGTGCTCCAAGTGAATTCTTTTCTGAGACTTGCTTGGAACATGAATGGGGGTGGGGTGGGGATGGGGGTGGGGAACCCAGGAAAACTGCTTTGGCAAGGGTCAGCAATAGACTGAAGTCTTGACGACACAGAAAAGGAAGGTTTCATACACCAGAACTATCTAGCCTGGAAGGACAGTGAGCTATGAGCTCTCGTCCCTGGAGTCGGACTGGCTGAGGCCCGGTGAGCATCAGTTTGCAAGAACTCATGCTTCAAGTTGATCTGCGGTGTTCTGAGTGCTGTCAGGTGCTACACACTCCCTACCAGACATCTCCAAAAACCGAAGCAGGGTAATGATGACCACATGGAGTGTTTTCTCGGCTTTGGGGAGACACTTGGGTCCCAGGACAGCTTCAGGCCCTCTTCCCGTTGTTTTCTGGAGTAACAGGTAGACAGGAGGAAAGAGTAAATATTACGACACCTTTCCACCTTGGATCTGAGATCAGCTTTAATGGTTAAAATGTTGACTCTGCTTCTCCTGTCTCCTACCTCTTTATTCACTCTTTTTTTTCTTTACAGGGAAAGAAGGCATGTCAACTCTGATTTGACACCCTGATCCCCCCAAATATATAAATATACTATTGTGTATTAATGTTTCTCTCAGTGTTTTATAGGAGTTGCATAACATAAAGGCTACATCAGTAATGAGAGGCCCAGTGTAACATAGCTGTAATCTACTTTCCATATTCTGACTATGAAATACAGTGGCTAGGTCCGTTCAAGAGAATTGTGTAACCCGGAGATGGCCACATCCCTTGTAACATTATTCTTCAATGGGATGATACAATTTAACGAGCAGCTACCACTTAAGAAATTTACAAAGCAGGTAGAGTCTGCATTTGTAGTTAAGGTGGATCTTGTAAATCTCACATCCGATTAATTTTTGAGTGTAGAGATGGCTGCCGTAATTTGGGGGTCAATTCCATTTGGGTTTTCAAGCTGTAATATCTGCATTAACTGTATGGCTCCTTAAACCAACTACCTAACCAACCAAGAGCAGTTCCTGTGTCATCCATCACCTAGGCCTTTGTAAAGGGTGCAGCCAAGCTCTGCAGCCTTCCCTGTCCATGAAGAATTGCCTGGCGCTGGTACCTGGCCTCTTCTTAAATGCTGTCATTCCTGCTGAGATAAATGCTTCTTTAAAAATAGTCTCTGTGGCAGGTCATTGGGGGATAATGTACAGCATTCCTGGCCAGGCCCTTCTTTTTCATTTCGTGTTCTATCCTGAGAAACTCCCAATGGCATCCTTGCAGCGTGGAAGGAGGAGGTTCTCCTTCACTGAGCAAAGCTGTTCATGGTTCATGATGTATTTTATGATGCCTGTTTTGTTACTTTTAACAGCCTCAACAGTGTTGTGTCATCTCTTGATGCTGAGTTTTGACCTTCTGTTTTATTGGAAATAATTAGTGAAAGCGGTGTGCCTATTTGTGAAGTTTATAGCACATGCACCTGAGGTCATGTGATAAATAACCACATTGCCAGGGTCCCCTGCTACCTTGTATTAGCTCATTAAAAATAATAATAAAAATAATTATAAACAAACTTTTAAGAACTGAGGCTAGAGGTTATTTCCGGACACTAAGGTTTCTTCTGGATTCCTAAGTTGATTGAATCAGTTGGGGTTGGCCTGTTGAGAATCATTTCTTTCACCTTGTTTTGCATATGGGGACCTTGAGAGATCAAATGATGTGACCAAGGAGACAGGTAGCACTGGGAGTGGGTTACAAGGCCTACAGTGATGCTCTCTCTATAATTCTGGAGTAATCTCTCAGTCCGTAATCCCCTACTGCAGGGGCTCCCATTGAGTCTCTGAGGAATGGGATGGTGAGACAAATGTTTAACCTCCATTCCCGCAGGCCATTCATAGACAACTCACTTGATTGTCTCACCTGGAATAAATGGAAGGATCATCATACATATGAAAAGAATGGTATTTATTAATCCATCTAGTCACTGATTCATTCCCTTATTCAATAAATCCTTACTGAGCCCATACCGTGTGCTGGGCTCCATGCTAAGTCCCGGGATCCATTGGTAAAAACCCTGGTCATGGTCCCTGCCTCCTTCTACTTACGGCAAGTGGGCAAGATGGTCATTAAGTTGGCAATAAAAACAACATAGGATGATTTTATCATCAGTAAAATGCACCTTCTGCTTGTAAGAGGATTCTCATTTCCCTACCAGTCAATTGTGGATTTCTGAATCTCATTGTTTTCTTTCCTGTTTCTCTTTTCCTCAAGGAGTGTGCTAATTTCTTATCTTCATAAACCAGGTAAGGGAAAAGGCACCCCAGCTCATTTTCTCCAGAAAATACTCCGTTTTTACTTCATTAACTTTGCAGAGGGTTGTATATGGAAGAAGGGATGGGGGCCCAGAATGCAAGCAGGACATTGGGTAGTGGGCAAGGCTCCCAGTAGTCCCAGGAAAGTGGTTTTCACTTTCACAGTTGGCTCTTCTAGGGGGCATCTGAACTAACACTGACCAATCTTTGGGGTTTGGTTAGAATTAGGTTGGATAACATACAACTGAAACCCCAACCAGCAGGTTTAGAGTATATTCATAATAAGTTAAAGGTTTATTTCTCTCTTGTATTAAGGAAATCTGGAGGAAAGAAAGCCATAGCTGGTATGGTTGCTTTGTGATCTGATTATTGGGAACAGATTCCTGCCTTTAGGCTCCTCAATTTTTAGTGCACTTTTTCCATGAGGTTGCCTCAGGGACGGGGATGGCAATTTTCCAGCTGGTCCTCACATCCACAGTTCAGGCAGGAAGCAGAAGGGAGGGCAAGGGGCAAAGGGGCGGCACCTCCCACCTAAGCCCACCTCCCTTGAAACTATTCTCTTAGATGCTCCTTCCAGTTGCTTCCATATGTATATCATCAACCTGAAATGGCTGGGAAATACACCGTTTCCCTGGGAACACTGCCATCCTTCCTCCAAATTGAGGATCCTGGTGCTAAGGGAAGAGGGGAGAAAGGATAGGGTGGCTCATGATTCTTGAACTTTAGTGTGTATCAGAATCACCTGGAGGGGCATTCAAACTCACACTGCTGGGCCCCACCCCCAGCTGAAACGGAGAATACACATTTCTAACAACTCCCAAGTGTTGTTATGTCAGTCCTTGCCATATTTTGAGCAGCACTGACAGCCTGCCAATCTGATTTGTTGGGGAAGCTCTAGTACCCTGATCATTTAAATCTAGCCCAACCAGAAACTCACAAAAGCTAGCTGCTCATGAAAAATGCTCACTATCTTCCTTGAGTTCGGAGACGCTCTGTGAGTAGCAGCGCATCAGTAACTGAAGAGCATCAATAAAAATACTTCCTTCCCTAGAAACTGCTTGGTTTCACTCAGGCCTTGAGCTTATGAGCCTATGTCTACTTGTAGGCCTCTAATTATTTCCTAGGCTCAGCAGAGGGTGGACACCCTTTCACCTGGGGTCAATGAGCTCTGTTTTGCCTGTTTCCATGTGGTAATGATTTTTACAGACACAAATATATTTGTGGCACATTGTCATTCACTAGGCCTTATATTGGTTCTCTTTGCTACTAGAAGTTTTCTCCTGTCTAGGGGTGCCCAGGAGGCAATAAAGACATACCTAGTTGCGACCCTGACCTGCTGACAGTCAACCTGAACTTGGTTTGGAAATGTTTCTTGAAAAAGGAGAAAAGATTTCTCCTTTAGGTAAGAGAAAGTCAGAGTGGGATAAATTCCTTTACTTAGACCTCATTCAACACATATTTACAGGATGGCTCCCGTGTGTCCCGTGGTCACAGGTCCCTACCTTTAAGTGGTCCCCACCCCCCCTGACCCCGGCTAAAGCTTTGTGCTTTTGTGGGGAGCTGTGTTGTGTTCAGGTACAGCCCTAGGAACAGTTTGGAAATAAATCCCTTTGCATTTAAGGCAAGCTTAAATCCCATTTCATTTAATTTTCTTAAGTATGGGGAGGAAATTTATATGCATGGTTTTGGTGACAGCAATGAAGTTTCTAAAAAGATTAATGATGAAATGAAACAGAGACTAGAGCTATCCAAAAAGGTTAACTGGAGGAATAAAAGTTACATCATTGCTAATTACAGAATGAAGAGGGGCTCTGCTTAGCAGGACTGTAATACACCTGGAAATTTTGAACCATGAGCCGAGTCCCTGTCCCCTCACCTGAAACACATACTTAGCTGTCCATGCACCTCTGGTCCTGCTGGCTTAAATGATTTTTAAAATTTCAGAGATGATAGGGCGCCTGGGTGGCTCAGTCAGTTAAGCATCTGCTTTTGGCTCGGGTCATGATCCCAGGGTCTTGGGATCAAGGTCCGCATCGGGCTCCCTGCTCCTCGGGGAGCCTGCTTCTCCCTCTGCTTCTGCCTCTCTCTCTGTCTCTCATGAATAAATAAAATCTTTTAAAAAAATTTCAGAGATGATAAATATGTATTCCTTCAGAAAGGGACTGTCCTCTATCCAAGTTAATGTGGCTGCCACATTTGATAATTTTGCTGGGAAGAGGGGTCTGTTTACTCAGTGACTGTCACTCAAACCCACTGTCCCGTCCTCCACTTCTTATATACAATATATAATCTCAGTTATTCTGATTTCTCAAAATCAGCCTGTGTGATTTCAATAGCACATGAATAGAAGACCCATAAAAAATGTCTTTGCAGGAAAATCAGACTTTGGACTATATCACAAAAGACTGCTTCAAAAATACTCAGAAAAACAAGTAGTAAGCTAAAGATGAACACATTTTAAGTAACTCTTATTTATTAATGTGTTTCTCCCCAAAAATTACAAAGCAAATTCCATCGACCTCAAAAATACTTGAAAGTGATAAAACTAAACTTTAAAATATGTTTTATGATATAGCTTGCTTTTTAACTTGGAGTTGGTCAGTTGGAGTCAAGAAAACCCAAGTTTAACAAACGTTTGGAGTGGATCACTGATAGCTGATTTGCTGGTCTTTGTACTAATGATTTTTTTTTAATTTTTTTTTAAAGATTTTATTTATTTATTTGACAGAGAGAGACACAGCGAGAGCAGGATCACAAGCAGGGGGAGAGGGAGAGGGAGAAACAGGC